ATGTATTTTTTAAATAAAAAAAAATTTTGAATTTACTTACTTGTAGCCAGAGTTAGAGGCGGTCGGATACTTATAACTGCTACTGTAGTTCTTTTTCAAATACATTTTTGCAATAAGAGTGTTGAATTCCTTTAAAATCTTTAAGAAATTCCTAATAAAGTGATGATCCTAAATATGAATGAAGGTTATTTGAAAGAATTTGATAGAGATGGTATAAATATTGCATATAATGAGTCTCTAGAAATACTATAGAAATGGTTACAATCATTGCGGGATCAGTATCAGTAACAAATGTTAATAGAGAAATTTCACATACTTCAAGATAACATTGAAGCAACCATTCGTATGATTTTTGTCTTTTATCTTGCATGAATGCTTGAGCTGCTAACTTACTTTTATTATAGTTATCGATTAATATGAAGAAATTTAACAGATAGTTATTTTTATTCATTTTTACAGTGTTATCATGAATAATAATATCATAAAATTTTATTCACCTTTCACACAGCTCTAGTGATATCCAGAAAATACTAACTAACCAGTTACTTGTATCATTTATTAATAGCTTTACAAACCATGCAGGATCATTAGCTTACAATTTAAGAAGCTTCATTAATAGAAATGCTATTTCTCCTAAATTCAATCCCTTTTCTTGTTTAATTCTTTGAATTGCATTCTCTAGGTCTTGAATAAAAAATACATGATCAGGATACTTTGGTTGAAGGAGGTTTCTAATTGTTCTTGTATTATATCGGCCATACACAATATAAAATTCTATCTGTTCCTTAATTTCTTCAGAAAAATTTTTGTAAGTGGTAGAAAATTTCACAGTTTTAATAGAAATCTCATGGTTGTGTTTATTATTAAATGATGTTACAGTTGCTATTGGTGAAATTGATTGTCTATTAACGTTTACTTGTCACATACAGCCTTGCTTTTTACTTCCTTTGCTCTTTTCTTTACCTAATATCAGTCTTGAATGTTTTTCAACATACCTTTCTCCTAAATCATACTTAAATACCCTTTTTTGCAAGTACTATCTGAAAAATTTTCAGTCTTGTACTTAAAGACGGCAAAGTTATTTTGAAAAGCATATTATTCTATAAAATATACTGCGATTTCCATAAAGTAAAACTTAGTTTCCAACTCAATTTCAATCAGAGTATTGATTAGTGGAAAAACACCATTATAACCTTCAAATTTAGAGCCTAATATATCTCTAAAAATATACTCTTCTTCATTATTATTATTATTAGTGGGTTCTATAAAGGGTGCAGCATCGCAAAATATGATTAGCGTAGGCACAAAAAGTAAAAAAACACGAATGTTTAACAAGCAAATAAAGACCTTCATAAAGGCTTTGGAGGTAAGCATATTTATAATATTAGAGCAGATGGAGTGATTATTTATTACTTGTGATGAATATTAAAGTAGTACTAAAAATTTTTGAGAAAAAAAAGCTCAAAAAAAAATTTAGAACACCACTGGTCAAAGAAATTGGAGAAAGAATTTTTGGAGGGAGAAAAAAACTCTGAAGAAAAAAAACTTCAGAGAAAGAACTTTAAGGAACACCACCAGTCAAGAAAACTTCAAAGAAATTGGAAAGAATTTTCGGAGGAAAAAAAAAACTCCAAAGAAAAAAAATCTTTGGAGAAAAAAAATTCAAAAGAAAGGAGCAAATTGTCAACACCAGTAAAGAGGACTTCAAAGAAAAATGACTTTCAAACTTCTCTCTTCAAAAAAAAATATAAAAGAACAAAAAATGCTGGAGGAATAACAAAAGACTTCGAACCTCTAAAGAAAAAATCCTTCAAATTTAAATCCTTTGCAGATTGAAAAAAAAAACAACTTCTCTTCTCAAACTCTAGTAGCAAAAAAGTCAGAGACAAACAGTATAAAACTCTACCCTTCGTTACAAAACAAAACCCTTCGTTACTGTTAGAAAAGAATCGTTGTGGCTTAGAAAGCAAAGAGTTTTATGCGCAGCTATTTTTTTTATTTATTATTATTGAAAATTTAACGTGACTTATCCGGATCTCTGACGCGATTCGTCGATCAGCCTGTCACGTGAATATGGGGTGAGAAATTACCCGGGTGAGGAATAAATTTTCTCTATTTAAATATTTTAATTTCGTTATCGTGCATTAGAAAAATCTTATTATATAGATGCATATAGGAATTACAAACGAATATGCAATTAAATAATATAAATAAAATTATGTGTATATTATAAATAAATTTTGGTCACTGTTTGGTCAATTGATTGATGTGTATAAAAATTTGGCAGTGTTTTTGAAAATTTATTGCGACTAAATTGGTAATAATTTCTCATCAATGTTGAATGGTCTTTTATTAATGATTTTGTCAGCACGTTCTGTATCTATTCCCTCGACCTGTTAATATCTGGCGGATTATCCTGACAATATAAAGCTCGACCAACGAATGGCCCAAAATACATTTCCCAATTCTGAACATTCACAATACCTGCAATTTTCTGAGTTGTAACATCGGCTGCAGCTTTATAACTTTCCTCCTAATAATTGTCTAGAGTGAAGTTGCTTTTTTGCAGACCTTGTATTGGTGCACTTTATTTAGAAAATGACCTGAACACAAACCCATCTCCAGCAGCTTTGAAGCACAATTGAGGATAAACAATTGATAATCTCGAGCATTAACATTCTCGTGAGTACATGTAATAAACCATTCCTTTTTATTGATATTAAATGGGTTTCAACCTGTTTAGTTGCAATATAGAACCCAAGATTGAAAATCAATATCAATATAGCCACTATGTGCATTTCACTCATATTTACATTCTCTCCTTCATAAAAATTTCGAAGAGAAAAGGTGGAAAAATGTTTTTATGAAATAAAAAGTTACCTCGGCACTCGAAAATAACTCATACGAAACATTTTTTGCTTAGTTAAGGAAAAAATTCAGAATATCATTGAAGATAATGGGGTTTTCAGCTTTATTTTCAGAGTCAATAATTCGAAACAATTTGTCGGGCACATTATCGATTTCAAAGATTCAGATTTTTTATAAATATCAAAAGATTCCCGACATTTATATAACCTTAGTCTCATTTTACTTAAGCAATATAATGACAAAAATAAATGTTTACTCCACTATCACGTGACGTTAGCTACTAATATCAGCTTCTTCTTAAAAACTTGGTTGGTTGGTCATGTAAATTTATAACTTGTACCTTTCTCGTAATCATCAATATTCAAACAATCTTTATTTGCAGCATCAAAAATTTACCAAGTGACTTCAACCTTTAAGTAATTATGGAGAAAAGCCTCGGAGTTTTTTAATAAGCATAAGGTATCCACTTAAAACAGATAATCTGAGATTTTTTATTAATATTGGACAGAGTAGTACTTCTAAGCAAGCTTAGCAAATTATACAGGATAATAATAGTCAAAATAATTTCCAATATCCTTGATTTTTTAACGGATTTATAATTTTTGCTTTGTTTTCAGTGTATTAAAAATATTTTTTTTTTTCGCTTTGTAATTTTCGATCGTATAATGGAATTTTTTTTTAAGGAAAAGACAACGGAATATGAATATAGTCCGTTATTTTACCAACAAAATGGAGATGTTTGATTCATTTTATTAAATGATACGTAGGATATTAACAAGCAAGTAATTTTTTATGTAACATCAAAAATTTGATTATTTAAAAATTAAAAAAGTTTTCGGATCCTTCTAAAATTTCAAAATTTTAACTAAAATATTTAATATAAAACTATTATTAATAGTTTGAATGGGTGTTTGAATGCGGATTGGGTATTTATACCTCACAGTAAAAATTTTTTTATTGAAACTGTTTAAAAATTAATTTTTCTTTAAAGTTGCTAAAAAAAAATTTTCATTTTAATAATTTTTGTTATAAAAAGATTATTTTTAATTTCAAAAATTATTTTTCTAATAAAATTAGTGTAACAATGTCCATAGAGTGATTTGTTACGAAATTGATTTTCAAGTATTACAAAAATTTGTGTAATAATGTCCCGTGGGCATTGGAAGCTTCCAATGAATTTTATAGGAATTGGAAGTATTATTGTAATTGAAAGAAATGGAAATCCAAAAGTACTTCCAATTTTCACTTAATATAAAATTTATATGTTTCTATGGGCATTGGAAACCCGATAACTTTTTATTGGAATTATTGGAATTGGAAGAATTGGAAGTCCAAAACTGCTTCCAATTTCCAATGCCGGTAGGGTAATTTTAATAATATAATTTTATGTATTTTATAATAACAAAAATTTTAATAGAAAAATTTTTAAATAATAAAATTTTAGTTCAAATTAGAATGTGGCGTAGCATTTTTTTATTTTTTTGATCATCATATACTCAAAATCAATTTCTTATCCCATATGATCGGCATAAAAATTTTTAAATATATTAAATATATTAAAGCTATCATAAAACTACTATAAAAAAAAAAAAAATTTTTTTTATAAAGATTTAGGTAGGAAATTTGTCAAATAAACAAATTCCAGATTTGGTAGTGTAGTATTTTCTTTTTCGCCAATCAAAGTTTAAATACGCATAGAATATAAATCCTTCGACTTTATAGACAAAATAATAAATAATTTCTTTTGTGATCTTTCTAGTCTATTGTTAAGCAACTAAATTGATCGAAAGTAGAAGCGTGTTATTAAAGAAATCCAGATTTAGAATAAAATTTTAGATAATTTTTTAACCGGTTAAGAGGAACAGCTACAGCGGTATATTAATGCGTATAATTCTGGCATTTGATTTTAAAATTGTGGAAATATGTTACGAAAGTTTTAAACATACTTAATTAAACTTTTATTGCCAGACCAATTTTATCCTTAAAATGACACCTTAATTTTTAGCAGTATATAAAGATAGATACTAAACAAATCGATATACATGTTTTATTTATGAATATAATAGATCATATATAATATATCATACTGTAAAGTGATTTTTCTAAATCTAAAAAGTATATTAGAAAAAAGCATAAATATTTCATCAAAAGAGGGAAAAATAATAAAAGTAAATAAATATGAAATTTATCCTTTAAGTAAATATTTCAGTCCTATTCATAAATTAATACGAAATTATTGAGTATTATCTTGAATATTATTTCCATTATCATTTTGACTATCACCGCCTTGTTGAGTAGATGGATCGTTATTGACTAAATCTGCATTAGAAGTGCTACTCTGTCCAATATCATTGATGTTAGATCCCAAATTATCAGTAAGAAACTGTCTCAAGTGGAACTCGAGGTTTGCCTTATGCTGATTAGAAAACTCCAAAGGTTGTCGTTGCAGCTGTTCATTTTGCCTTAATCCATATATATTTAGGTTTAAATACTGAACTATAGTTGAATGTGAAATCATTTTACAAGTAACTTTGTAAATCTTTTGATCATTAGGATGCTGAAAATAAAATACAAAAATATCGTAATTGTGATAATTATAAGAAGGATACAAGGTATTGATTATAAGCTCGTTAAGAGTTGTCTCTTTATTATTGATAAGATAAATTTGAAAATCATTGAATGGCTCGTAATAAAATGACCATCCTTGTTCTTGAGAAGAAAGTTGAGGATTTGCTGGCGTGCTATTTGAAGTTTCTTGCATTGCATAGATAGGATCGTTACTATCTGGATTATGTGGAGTAGACATTTTTACTTTGCTGTTGCGTTAAAAATTGGTGTGAAATATTTCTCGCGTAATATTCTGCTGCGCCACAACGATTAATTTTGTCTTTTATATAAAACTTTTTTTTTTTAAAAAAATTTTGAAAATATATTTATAATAATAAAATAATTTCAGACTATATAATAAAAATAATAAAATAATAAATAGAGTTCCGAATGAGTCGAGTCGAGTCGAGTTTAAAGATCAACTCGACTCGACTCTCTTTTTTCGAGTCGAGT